CTCCTGGATGAATCTGCCCTTGTTTTCTCTCACTTACTTGTTTATATTTATTGTGAGATTCTACTAGTTACTCAGGCTCTGTTTTGTTTCTCTGAAGAACAATAGCCTCTATGCTGGACCACTGCTCTATCCTAGGCACATCTTCAGTGTGGTTAGAGAGCTCTTTTCATGGCAATGACTAGAAGGCAACTTTTCAGCCACATATTCTAGATTCTGTGGATGGACAGCAATAAGACTGACTGGCCCATCTAATCCACAAGCAGTCTTTCAATATTTACGTTGGTTATCACCAGCTTATCCCCACATACTGGGAATTCCTCATGACCCATAAAGGGTCTTTAATATATCCTGAGAAGTTTTCCATTTGTCTATTTTGAGCATTTTTCTTTGCTCTATTTTTACTATCTGTCTAATCTGATCACTTTGCATTTCTGGAAATTCTTCTAAAATATCTGTTTCACTGATTTTATTATTTTATGTTTTCCATGTTTTTGTATACACACACATGCACACACATATATGTATATATAGTCATCACCACATAGGACATTTTGGTCAACAATGAGCCATATTTATAATGATGGTCCTATAAGATTACAAGACATATTTTTACTGTACCTTTTCTATATTTAGATATGTTTGGATACACAATTTCTTACCATTGTCTTACAATTACCTGCAGTATTTAGTACAGTAATATGCTATACAAGTTTGTGGCTTAGGAGCAATACCATATGGCCTAGGTGTATAGTAAGAAGTAAGATATAGTATCTAGGTTTATGTAAGTATACTCTATGATGTTTGCACAATGATGAAATTGCCTAACAAAACATTTCTCGGAATGTATCCCTGTTGTTACATGACATGGGACTATGGAACTATATATTCAGATGATTTTGGTAGGGTATGGGAATTGAAGAGAAGTAATCACATATGCCAAATCTAATATCTTGAATTCGAGATCATCTATGAAACCCATAACATTCTGACTTTATGTTTTTGGTAATTTATGCTTCTTATGACTCAAGGGACTATTACAATATATTTGTAGAACATGACCCCTGCCAAGGACTTTATAGTTCAGAAAAGGCATAATATCATGGAAAACTAAATATTTGTAAACCCACATATAATTTTATGTTTACCACACTTTGGTAATACATTAAAATTCTACGGATGTCATGGACTTCTGATTGTATGAAATGTTTTTTGGGAATAATTGGCATTTTAACTAGCCCTGGACAAAGGGGTAATATTTATTAATAGAATCACAGAGATAAAAGGTAAGAAAAATTAGATGGGGGTAATAATAAAAGGGTAGAAATAGGTAGGAGAAGTATGCACCTGTTTGGGTAACAACAGAGAGTATAATTAGACAAAAATATAGTGGGGTATGTGCAGTAGAGAATTGACAGTTTTATCAGTGAGTTCAAGTTTAAGTGAAGTTTAATAACTGTTTCTTAAGATGTTTAAAATTTGATTTTTATTGAGATCTTTTATTTTGACAGTTTGAAACTTCTTTTGAAGAATGGTAAGAAACTTTCATGCTTCTTTTATTGTTTTATTTTTAATGTTAAAAGTTTGATCACTGCTATAGTACAGTTTACTTCAAAAGGAACAGGAAATTGAATGCAGGATTTTCCACATTAGATATTAAAATGTGTTTTTAAGAATATAGGAATTAGGATATCACTGAAAATGGCAGAATAGGGGTCTCCAGGGTTCCATCCCTCCACAAAAAACAAATATAAAGTTTGCAAAATGTTGGTCAGAATCAACTTTTGCAGAAATCTGGAATCTAGTCAAAAATTTACAACCACCAGGGGAAAATGTAATGAGTAAAGAAGCTGCTGCATTGCATTAATAGGGCACTGTGGCATTTTAAATTCCCTGCTCACCATCCTCCAACCCATGGATTGGTGGTAGCTATGAAGAGAGCAATGTACACTTGTGCAGATTGCTAGTGCCAGAGGGAACAATAGGGACCTTATTCTGAAAGAATTGCGTTTGAGTGTTTTGACCTGTCTGACAGCTCCCTGAAGAACCAGCAAAAAAGACTTGTCTTTGTTTTGCCTGACTTGGAGCAATCACAGGGCTGGGGCTGCTTCCAGGAAGTGTTTGCTAAAAGCATTTAAAGGCATATACTTGCCACAAGCAGCCTGAGGCTATGGATAACAGCTGGGACAAGCATTAGGCCAAAATGCCTGAGAAGAAAAAGGTTGGGAAAAGAGATAAATACCCAAGGGAAGAGGGTTATTCAAAGCTCTCAATATACTTGGAAATTAAGAAGAACACAGATACAATGAGGGCTGGAAATATGCTCAGGAAAGACCTGAGAAGACTCTAATCTTTTACCTCTAGCAGAATTTTAGGATTTGCACAAGGAGGAATTAAAGGCAAAAGCAGGATTGTAAACAGCCTGGATAAACATTGAAGGAGTCATACACCCAATCTCCTCAGCAGTTATGGAAGAGTTGAGGAATGAAAAGATATAAATAATATACTAAATAAATAGTACAATGCCAAAAAAAGTTCTTCCTTGACAGTAATTGATTTACATCAAAATGGATTAAACTTTCCAATTAAGAGGTACAGAGTGGTAGAATGTATAAAAATACATGATCCAACTATATGCTGTCTAAAAGAAACTCATTTGAGATCTGAAGATATAAGTAGTTTGAAAGTGAAAGTATGAAAAAGCATAATGTAAATAGTAACCCCAAAAGAGCCAGGGTGGCTATACCAATATTATACAAAATAGACTCTAAATCAAAACCTGTTAAAGAAGACAAAGAAGACTTCATATATTGATAAAATTGTAACTCAGTCAAGAAGATATAAAAATTATAAATATACACACTTGACAACATAACCTCAAAATACATGAATAATAGTAACAGAACTGAAGGGAGAAACAGTTCTACAATAAGTGTTTAAGAATTCAATGCCCCACTTTGAATAATGGATAAAAGAACTAAACAGAAGATCAATAAGGAAATGGACTTGGGACAATCCTAGAACTAGACCTAACCAACTTATATAGTACAACTTATATAGTACACTCCATCCAAAAATAGCAGAAAACACACTCTTCTCATGTGCACGTGAAACATTCTCTGAGATAGATCATTATTAGGCCATGAAAAAAAATCTCAATGAAATTAAAAAGATCAAAATCATACAAGATATCTTTTCTAAACCAATAGAATGAAACTAGAAATCAGTAACAGAAGGAAACCTAGAAATTTTATATATATGTGGAAATTAATCAGAATTCTCTTTATAAATCAATGAATCAAAACAATAATCATAGGGGAAATTAGAAAACACATTGAGATGAATGAAAATGAAACCACAATTTAGTACAAATTATGAGATGCAACAAAAGTAGTACACAGAGGGAAATTTAGAGCTTGTAAATGCTTACATTTAAAAAGAAGATTCCAAATCAAGTAACCTAACTTTATACATTAAATAACTAGATAAGGAGGAGTAAGCTAAACCCACAATTAGCAAACTGACTTGGGAAAAAGTAGAAAATCTGAACAGGCCTATAAAAAATAAACAGATTGAATGAATACTCAAAAACTTTCCAACAAAGAAAAGCCCAGAACCAGATAGCTTCATTGGTAAATTCTATTAAACATTGAAAGAATTAACATCAACCCTTCTCAAAATCTTTCATAAAATAGAAGGGGGAACACTTCCTAACTCATTCTATGAGGCCAGCTTAACCTGACACTAAAATCAAATAAAGATATAACAAGAAAACTGTAAACAAGGAGTGCAATGCGCACTACCGGAAAGAAGGACATATGTGAAACGCGGACTGGGGCGGGGGGAACCAAGGGCAACACACGTAACCTAAACATCTGTACCCCCATAATATGCTGAAATAAAAAAAAATGTAAACAAATATCTTTGTGAATATGCATGCCAAAATCCTCAACAAAGTACTAGCAACCTGAGTCCAGAAACATTGTAATAAATTATAATCAAGTGAGATTTATTATCCTTGGAATGTAAGGGTGATTTAGTATACAAAAATTAATTAATGTAATATCCTATGTTAATAAAATAAAGGAGAAAAACCATGTGAACATCTCAATTGGTAGGAAAAACTTGTGACCAGCCAACATCTTTCATAAAACTAGATTGTAACGGAACTTCCAAAACACAGAAAAGGGCATTTATGAAAAACCTTTGACTTACATTGTGCTTACTGGTGAAGACTAAAAGTTTTCAACCTGAGATCAGGAGCAAGATAAGGATGCCTGCTCTTATCACTTTTATTCGACATTGGAACCCTTGTACATTGCTGGTGAATATAAAATGGTTTAGACACTGTGAAAAAGTTTGTTGACTTCTTAAAAGGTGAAAACTAGAAGCTGTATACCTAAAAGTACTCCAAACAGGTGTTGAAACAAAAACTTGTGTACAAATGTTCATAACATCAATATTAGGCAATAGCCAAAAGGTGGAAACAACCCCAAACCCGTCAATGGATTAACAGATAAGCAAAGCATGTTTTATCTACACAATGGAATATTATTGCACCATAAAAATAAAGTTCTTCTATATACTACAACATTAATAACCCTCAAAACTATCATGCTAAGTTAAAGAAGGCAGACACAAAGGTCACTTATTATATGATTCCGTATTATATGATTCCATTTATGTGAAATATCCATACTAGGTACATCCATAGAGACAGAGAACAGATTAGTCATTGCTAGGGACTAATGGGTTGGGAAAAGAGGAGAGATTGCTTAGAAGGTAGGGAGTGTTCTTTTGGGGTGATGAAGATGTTTTGGAACTAGATAGGATGATGTTTATACAACATTGTCAATGGATAACAATAAAATGCAACTGAAGTTTTTACTTTCGGACGGTTAATTTTATGTTATGTGTTTTTTGCCTCAATAAAAAAAAAAATAGAAGAATTAACACAGAATTTCACTGGTCCGAGAATTAACTGAACTTTAGAAGATTATACACAAAAATAGATCTAATTTTGTATAATAATTTACCATATTATATAATTGGCATTAAAAGACTACAGGGAAATCATTACTTACTAATTGATGCTGGGACAATTATTTTTCAATTTTTTTAAAAAAAACAAGAAAAAACATCACATTTTTCAACAAACATATTTTGAAATAAAAATTAAAACTAAATGAAGAAAATATAATGAATATTTCTCTAACCTTGGAATAGACAGGCTTTTCCAAATAAATGGTGGAACAAAAAGACAGAAAATATGCAGCCATTAGAAATATTAAATGCTAGTAAAATACACTGGAAACAATGACACTTAACTAAAGCAGATTATAAAATTCCTTGACTCTAATTTTATAAAAGTTGAAATATCACTAGACTATTATATTCTACATAATCTCTAAAGAGAGTGAATGAATATGAATTATTCCATATTATTTTTATGATTTTTGGTATCTATACAGATTTCTTAAATTAATTTGTAATACATCTTTGTCAGAAACTATTAATAATTTAACATAAATTTCAAAAAGAAATTCTCTGCTTTGATACCAATTTTCTTACCATTTTGATCAGAGAAAAAATACTGCTTAAAAAATACAATGAAGGCCATTTCAGATTCTAGAATAGGACCAGAGAAATACTGATAATGAGAAATATTTTGTCATTCAACATATAGAACTTTAGGTAGAAAGATACTTTAGAAGGAAAATGACATTTTAATTTAGATAGTTTTCTAAAAGCTTATTAACTTTAAATCTGAAATGGTATTTTTACTCATTGTCATTTACATTGATTCCCCGGAAACTGCTAAACTGAAATTACAGAAATAGCTCATTCAGATTATCCTCAATACACATCCTTTTCCTTATAGAAACATGCTCTGGGAAAGACCAATGTCTTTTAAAAAAACACAGCTTTAATATTCTCTAAAGAAATTTTGAGTCATTTGTAAGAAATTTTAAGTTTCTATTAATTTACCAGTAAGTATAAATCCTATTAGCTATTAGAATTTTGATTAGTCTTCTATCTGGTAGGATTATCAAGTATAGAGAGTTTCACAACAAGTATTTAAAATTCAATGAAAGAGCACCTAATCATTTTTTTGCTAACTTATACAGCCCTTGTTTATTGATTAATTGCTTCTTTCCCATTATACAGGAGCAGAACTTCTTCCATGAAAGATCTGAAAGAAGACTGGAGTATTACTACACCAGTGGAAGAGGTCAAACCAAAAGAAGGGAGAGGTAAAGTTGTTTCTTATATTTAAATAAATGTAATTATATTTAAAAGCTCGTGGCTTTTTATTTAATATATTTCTAATTGTCACAATAATTATGTTTAAGAGATTTATAATTCTTATGAGTATGTAATAGAGAAAAGAGTCCTCTGTATCATTTGATTAAGCATTCATTCAACAAATATTTATTAATGACTATTATATACCAAATACTGGTCTAGATGCTGTATATATAATGATGGCTGTCCACCTCTCACAAAGTTAACTATAGTTGAGTGTTGTCCAGTAGAACTTTCTGTGATAATCAGTGTTCTGTATCTGTACTGTCCAATAGAGTAGCTACTGGCCACATACAGCTATTGAACACTTAACTTGAAATGTGGCTAGTCAGCAAACATAAAAAAATGTTCAACATCTCTAATAATTAGAGAAATGCAAATCAAAACCACAATGAGATATCACCTAACCCCAGTGAGATTGGCCTCTATCAAAAAATCCCAAAACAACAAATGCTGCAAGGATGTTGAGAGACAGGAACGCTCTTACACTGCTGGTGGGACTGCAAATTAGTGCAATCTCTGTGGAAAAGAATTTGGAGATACCTCAAAGAGCTAAAAATAGAAATACCATTCAATCCAGCAATAGCACTATTAGGCATCTACTCAAAAGAGCAAAAGATATGCTATAATAGAGACCTCTGCACCCGAATGTTTATGGCAGCACAATTCACTATTGCAAGGATGTGGAAGCAACCAAAGTGCCTGTCAATCCATGAGTGGATTATTAAAATTTGGTATATGTATACAATGGAATATTATTCAATCATAAGAAACAATAGTGATCTAGCACCTCTTATATTTTCCTGGATTGAACTCGAGCCCATTATCCAAAGTGAGGTATCACAAGATCGGAAGAATGGGCTCCACTTGTACTCGCCATCAAATTAGTACTAACTGATGAACACTATGGTGCTCACATGGCAGTGATATTCTCCAGGGATTAGGGGGATCGGGAGGCAAACCCACAACTAAAGGACACAGGGAGCATTGTAGAGGGGAAGGGCCTGCCTCTCACCCTCGCTTGGGTGAGGCAAAGAGATAAAATGTAACCATAATGTTTGTACCTTCATAATACCCTGAAATAAAAAAAAAGAAATGTGGTTAGTAAGAGTGAAGAACTTAATTTTTAAGTTCAATTTTTATTTACTTACATATAAATATAAATAATTACATGTGGATCATGCTATCATTATTGGACATCTCAGCTCTAACATGTTTAAGTTGTGATTAACATTCTTGTCATTTATAAAATGTACAATAATTTATATACTGGCTTAAAATTTATGTTAACATTACTTCAACATATTTGAATATATTCTTGAGACTTTATTAAATGCCTCTGCATCCTCCCACAATTAAAAATTTTCTAAAAACTGTTAGTGAAAAATAACTAATAAATTTAGAACTTTCTTAAAGCAAGAATGGTCTGTTCGTCAAAGCTTTCATTCATAGCAAGGCTGTTTTTACTGTTTTTCTTTTTACTATCAATATTTGTATTTACAATGAAGATGAAAACCTCAGTCATTACTTACCAAGTTTTCACATGACAAATATGCTATGAGAAAAGATGAATATATTAATGGTCACAATCACAGTTAAATGAATTATAATTATGCTTGTTATAAATATGTACATTTGGGTCCAAAATGCAAAACAGTAGCAGGATGAGGGAGATTTATTGTAATTAAGTGTTTATGTTAAAAAATTGCAGATAGTTGCTCACTTAGTCAATATGAAACAATAAAACTAATTGT